AGACTTTATGTAATACTAAGTTTTGTGAAGACTCTTTAATGGTTATACCTAATTGGCCATCTATCTAGTCTTTCTACAGTTTAAGAAACTGAGTCCGTAAGAAATCTAAGGACAAACTCAAGGTCACTGGTTGGCTTCAAGGCACAACTGAGGATTCAGACCTCTAATTCCCAGTGTGATTCTCTTATGTGTTTAACTAGATGGAGTTCATTTTGACTTTCTAAAAGTCAAGGGTCATGTTATGAATCCAATCACATTACATATTCAAAACAGAGAAAAACTAAGCGACCTCTTCTTGAATGCTAAATGTGCCCATGCAAGGAAATTACTCAGTCATTGCAGCCAAAGGAAAGTCTTTTCTTCCATACTTTTTGATGGCAGTTCATTACATTTTACCTCCAGGCTACTTGCTTTCTTTTAGCAAGATCCATTACATATAGTACTTTCATAGTATGTTGGTGGAAAATAGGCAAAAGTATTGCATTTAGATATTTCTCTTAAGGGTTGAAACATGGTTTGCACACATACTCATTCATTCACAAACACCCGCCTAGGAGAACGTAGTCCTGGGGCGGAGAGGCGGGGGGAAGCTTGAAGGTATATATTTTAACCGATCTGGAACCTGAACCTTGTGCTAGTGAAAATGTACAGGACACACTGGTAACCCATAGCAACCTCATTCTTCAAAGTAGCTGTTGATGTCAAAAAACTAGGGCACCAAAGTCTAATAATTACAACTCCAAAGACAAATGAAGCCACAGCTAGCAAATGTCACTTACTGATCATGATGTCACTGCAAGGTATGCACTTGTTGTGATGAAACAAATATAACGTAAGGGGATACAGGGGCTTCTGCCTGTATCACATTCTATCTTCCATATCAAGATTAAAAAAAAAAGCTAAAGTAGCCTTAGTGACACGAAAAGCTTCAATTTAATGAAAGATGATTATAGTGCAAGAAAAATTAATCCTCATTTCTCCCATCTTTTCCTCCAGAAAAATGTTATTTTCTACAAACTAAATATAATCTTTGAAAAATTAAAAAAAAAATAGTTCCAAAGGGGCATTTCATTAAATTATGGGTGCTACAAAATGGATTTCTTATTTAACCTGATAGAAGGCGATACATTGTGTTGCATTAGAACTCTTTCAAATCCCTCTGATCTTGTAGAGCTTTTAAAGCTAGTGAGCACAAGATTTCCTCTAATTTAATATTTCTAGAAACGTTTTGAATGTAATGTTTGAACAATAATGAAAAGAAACACAAGAGTGTTTTTTAATAGCTTAAATGATGTTTAGAGAGGACTCTAAACTGCACCTCTGACCATTTTCAGAATCTGGAGAGAACACAAATAGACACTAAAACTTAAATATAAAACACCAAGAAAAAAACAAAAAACAAAAAAACAAAGTTGGTTGAACCTACGCCTCCCAACTCAGTTTGTTGCAAAATCAATGATGACCACACAGTTTTTATAATCTAAGAAGTGCTGTTTGATTTCTGTTCTTGCTTTTGTTTTCTCTCCCAAAGCTTAATTGGAGCCAAAGGTTACTTTGGGGGAGAAAACGGTCAAAGAGTAACTAAAATAGAGACTGAGGAATTTAAGGATACTTTATCAGGTTTGTATTACTTTAGTTTTTTTAAAAGAATATTTCAAGTAAACTGAATTTGAAACATTTAATATAGACTCTCAACAAAGACAGATATTCCATAATATCAACTCTTTCTGTTTCTTTATCCTTGTTGCTGAGAGGTAATAAAATCTTTTGTATAATTAATGGTTTAGTAACCTAATACCATTATAGTACCTAATCATAAAATATTAATAGTTTCTCTCCCCCAAGCCCCATTTTTTTCTGGCTCATAAATTTGGTACTAACAACAAACAGGCTCTATTCATTAATACTCATCCGAATAACTGCATCTGGTCAGTTTATTTAAAGGGGGCACAATTAGCATGCATCCAAAGACAATTTAGAAAGTTAAATTTGAAAGTAGGTATTTACGTTCTTTCAAGAAATATTAAACACAAGCCACTCGACAAAAGCATGGAAGTTGGCTGATGTTTTCTCTACACCTAAGACGAAAAGCTACATCCTGTCCATGGATTTTGATCAATCGCCCAGATACCTGGTTTACATGAGGCCGAAGTTTAAAACACCGAAGAGCTTTCAAGTATTTCACAGTATGGCTGCTTTGGTGCAGCATAACCAGACCCCATTCAGGCACTTTGAACTCGTCGACATCCAAACACCCTGAAGACCTCACATCTCTTCCTTAGGTTTCGACCAGTGATTTAATTAAAACCCCAATGAGCCAGGATCCAGACAACCTGAGCCTTCATGCACCGGTATGTGAAAGAAAACGACAGATGGAGGGAGGTCAGGAAGGCGACTGAGAAGAGGCTCTCTCTCCACAACGGGGCTTATTTTTTCCAAGAGGGAGATTTGTTGAGAGGGGCTCAGATACAAACATAGAAGGATGTATAGTTTGAATGAAAGCCTTTCAGGTGAACTGGTATCTCCATCTCCCACCGATCGCTTTCATGTTGGAAAAAAACAAAAAATATAAACACTCTGGGCTTGAGAGAGCAAAAATAAAGATCGCTATGTCACTTCGAATGGTTATACACGCTGGTTTCAGGTTCAATCCAGGCCAAGAACAGTAAAACCCATCTGGAGAAGCACTCTAAGTTAACTTCACGTTATACCTAACTTATTTATCTGTTGTTTCCCACCAACTTCTGAAGCTTTCTGCTTTCAAGCTACAGAAATCTCATCCAAATGCTTCACCCTGTTTATTCCACCCATGTGACATCCAGAGGCAATTCGAGGTCTGTATTCTTATTTTATTATTATTATTTTTGTTATGCTAATACTCTAAGCGTCCAGTTGAGAACAACTTCTCTTTCTTAACTGACCAATCCACTGGCATTGTCACCTTGGAGGGCTGGGAGGCAGTTAAATCTTGGTGGTTCCTGGTTCTGCAAAGGGGCTACTAGTCAGCCATTGGACATTTTGGACTGCTTAGCTGGGGAGAAGGAAAGAGGAGAAAAGAAAAGCTTTTAGGGCCTGGTAAATGCATGTTTGTTGGGTTGAGTACACAGGCAAGTCAGAGCCTATTAATTTCCAAATCAACCACTGGGCTATGACGGCAAACTAAGCTTATAGTCACAGCAGCAGAAGAGGGCCCTCTAATTTACGGAAACCATCCTCTGTGATGAGCTCCAGATCCCCTGGACAACCTGCGAAAACTCTGAGGCTGCAATGATGGTGACAGACTCATTTAAACAAAAAGAAAAGCAATTAAGCAAACGGACTTGACTGAGAAGTAGGAATTCTCTGGCGAGCTGCTTCAGCATGAACTCTGTCACACAGCCTACCTCCTAAGTAGACCTAAGGAAAAACAACAGTAAACCATGCTTGATGACACAGGCCTGGGCCAAAGTGGGGGCCATGCTGTACTCAAGGAAGAAACATTCCATTACAAGCAACAGTTTTTTAAGCAAATCTAAAAGCAGATAAGCACATCTCCTGTGTGATGGGGATGCTACTTTCTACCCATAAAATGAAACCTCTGGCGTAGCTGAAGGTATAATTTTAGAGCTCTCAGAGATGTTGAACAATGGCTTATGCAAGAGTAGAAAAGGATGGTCAAAAATATTGTTTCTGGCTTACCAGAGATTTTAGAAAACTCAATAAAACTCAATAAAAGATTATTTCAGACTTTCTTGTAGGTAGCAAAGTGAACATTCCCTGAACACAGTACCCTTTGCTTCCCCACAAAACCCAAAAAGCAAACAGCGCCTGCCCATATATTTTATCATTAGTTTTCAAACGCTTTATTATCTACTGGTATAAAGATTCAAGGAAACAATATTTCCTTTTCTAACTTTTTCAGCCTAGCTAACAGCAAAGAAGAATCTAAAGTGGCATTTTTATGAGGTCCTTTTCTAAGAGAGTTGATACCATGGTTAAGTGGTCTGGTTACTAGGATTACATTTGTGGTTGGAAAAGTACTCCATTCTAAAAAAAGTGAATTCAACATGAACCAACATAAATGTGCAACTCTGAGGGTGTCTGGGAGCCACGGCTCCATCCAAATCCTAAGGAAGGACAAGAACCACTGCCCATGGTTAAGTCCCTAAGAGGATTAAAAGCCTATTTACTGTCACTTGGTTGATAAAGATGCTGCTCATCAGTCCCATCCTAAAAGCAATAAACAATCGCCCGATTTTATACTCTCCCAGGTAAAGACTTGTAAACAGAAAGAACTAGTAACGAACGTTTTTCTTAAAAGAAAGTTAAATTCCAGTAACACCTGCTATTGTAATACATTCCATATTTAAGGCAGGCCATACGTGGGGGGGTGTGTGCATGTCAGAGACGGTCAATGATCTACTAACTGAAAGCCGTAATTGACAGAATTCCCATTTTGTAAAATTAAAACAACAACAAAAAACCCCACTGTTTTTAGATCTTAGAAATAAAGATTCCAATTAATGAACTCATGACCAAGACAAATATTATGAGACGTAAGAGGAGATATATATAGGGAAAGAACATACATATGTAGAGTTAAATGTTTTACCATTTCTGATTATCAAAAGGCTAAGTATATTTTTAAACCACACAGTGAGTATAATGACAAGTTTAGGAAAGACCACCATAAATACCATGTTCAAAAACCAATTGCTCCATGAGAGGCGATGGACTCTGAGAAACAAACTGAGGGTTCTAGAGGGGAGGGGGTGGGGGGATGAGTGAGCCTGGTGATGGGTATTAAAGAGGGCACGTACTGCATGGAGCACTGGGTGTTATGCACAAACAACGAATCATGGAACACTTCATCTAAAACTAGTGATGTAATGTATGGTGATTAACATAACATAACAAAAAAAACCCCACACAAAAAACCAATTGCTAGTTTATTAAAAATGACACACAAAGAATTCCAGAACCAGAGTACATGTTTCACAGCTATTGCTTTGTTTTCTTACCTTGGATGTTGTACAGTCGGACCCTATGGGTAACATGTTCCAAAAAGCAAGTCACGTCTGAGTAAAACCTTCCACGTTGCACTCTGACAAAGGGCAGTGTTGTGTAAACATAAGGCTGAGGAGGAAATGACATTTTTAAGAAAAAATTTCAGCTTTTAACTTTTCCAAGGGATGTTTATTATCATTTCCCAAATGGCAAATACATACCACCTGATATTTGCAATCTCAAGTGAAAACAAAACCTTACAAGGTATCAGAACAGGCGCATGCTATAAAAATGGAGTATAAGGTTTTTCATTAGACAAAAAGTGCTGAAAATAGAAAATAAAAATGTTTACAACTTGACTGGCCTAGGTGATCTACAAACATTCCCTCCCAGCTATAAAAATTTCTAACTAGGGCGCCTGGGTGGCTCAGTTGGTTGAGCAACTGCCTTCGGCTCAGGTCATGATCCTGGAGTCCCGGGATCGAGTCCCGCATCGGGCTCCCTGCTCTGCGGGGGGTCTGCTTCTCCCTCTGACCCTCCCCCCTCTCATGTGCTCTCTCTCATTCTCTCTCTCAAATAAATAAATAAAATCTTTAAAAAAAAAAAAGTCTTAAAAAAAATTTCTAATTAAAACCCTTCTATATTGTCCATGTGCTATTTATTAGAAATACCATTCATTCTACAGCAGTGACATTTTCCCAGGCAAACGTTTATTATAACCGTGGCCCCCTAATGTTCAGGGGTCGGGCAGGTGGCAAGGATGACCACAGGGAGTCATCTAAGCAAACAGAAAGCAGGATTCAGAGAATTGCTTAATCACACTTAGGTTTACTAGTCTATAAAACACACTGCCCTTTTACTAGAAAGAACTGAATATAAAGCAAATTTACAAACTTGAAAAAACTATGGCAACCACTGGTTTAAGGTTTCGTCATTTCGAATCTAGTTGTCAAGAAAAATCAGGAACAGAACATACTTCTGTGACATAGGAACACATTGAAAGCATTTATGAAGAATTATATTTTCTCTTTTTTTTTGAAGGAATTATATTTTCTTAAGCATTACAGGCTGCAGAAGCTCAACAATGGCATGACGAGCTAGGCTTGCATTGCGAACTACTTAAGTAGCATCAGATTTTCAGAACTGTGAAATTTTCTTCCAAATGTACCTCTCTGGTTCTAGAAAAAATATTCTGAAATTAATATAATGCATTAAGAGTTTACAAAGTTCTTGGACCTAATTTTACCATATAGCTAAAAAGTAAGGGAAGAACATGAAAGCTGGCATGGGGATTTCTGGGCTCCTACCTGTTTCTGATGCACCCACCTGCCTCCCTGATAGTCTTTTATTTTCTCTTTGTAAATATATGATAATTCTCTTGGTTTTTTAATTTAATATTAGAGCTATTTAAAGATAGAATAATTTTAAATAAATTAGTCACAATTGCCCATGCATAATATTCCAGAAGTATTGTTATTTTTCATTTTTTCTTTGGTATAAGAACAGTCAATCAAAACCAAATTCCTGGGGTGCCTGGGTGACTCAGTCGGTTAAGCGTCTGCCTTTGGCTGGGGTTATGATCCCAGGTTCCTGGAATCAAACCCCACGTCGGTCTCCCTGCTGAGCAGGGAGCCTGCTTCTCCGTCTCCCTCTGCTGCTCCCCTTGCTTGTGCCCTCTCTCTGACTCTCTCTCTCAAATAAATAAATAAAAATCTTAAAAAAAAAAAAAAACAACCCCAAACCCAAATTCTTGTCCAATTGAGAACAGACTGATACAGCTTATACTTAGGATCCACTACCCTTCCTAGAACGGCTACTATGAGCTGTAGTTTACCTTTAATTCCTCACTGATTAAAAAAAAAATCGAAACAACAAAAAACTAGACTCCTTAGAACGGTCAATGCTATTCTTTAAAATCTATTATTTGGGGCGCCTGGGTGGCTCAGTCGTTTAGCATCTGCCTTCGGCTCAGGTCATGATCCCAGGGTCCTGGGATCGAGCCCCGCATCAGGCTCCCTGCTCAGCGGGAAGCCTGCTTCTCCCTCTCCCACTCCCCCTGCTTGTGTTCCCTCTCTCACTGTCTCTTTCTCTGTGAAATAAATAAATAAAATCTTAAAAAAAAAAAAAGTCACGTTCTCCATCAGCTAAAACCTTATATGTATTACAGTGCACTGGAGCTTAAACTGAGGGAATGCCACACATCAATGTTTGTATCCTAAAGGCACATGCACAGTCTTCTAACGAGGCAAGCACTAAGAACTGGTAGTGTATTCCCCAAATGCTTTCTCAGGATGCATAAAGCCATTCTGTTTAAAGCAAAACAAGACTAAACACAGTAAATAAGTTTGGGAAACATTGGGTAAAGCAAAATTTTAATGTTTCAACAATTCATCATTGTGGGATTTCCCAGAGCCTCTAATTTTCTAACATGCCCGTATTTTATTATCACTGAACCGGACCATCACTTAGAAATCACAGTTTTCTACTCTGGTATCATTACTACTGTTTCAGGCAGATACTATCATGTTTGTCAGTGAAGTTTGATCTATACATATGGGCCCTCATACTTACCCTTTGTTCATTTTTTTCTCCTACCTACCTTAACTACAACATAGAAATAGGCAGAATTCTAAATATTTCTGTAACTGATCTCATTACCATTTCTTCTCTTGCACATAGCCCCATTATCCACTTTTAGGCTGAACATCCATCACAAACACTGTCCCCCTCTAATTCATTTTTTCATGCCATGATTAGAATTAACCTTCAAATAGCCATGATGTATTCTTGTTCTCCAGGTGATAATTATATAAACATTCAATCTACTGTTGAGAGCAGTACTCTAAGTAAGAATCACCTTTAGATGGCAGAAGAGAAAGCTAGAAGGGTCTGGACCCCTGTCGGCACTGTAGAGCTGCTATACCTGAACTGGGGACCTGCAGACTTCTTCCACGTGGCATAAAAATAAGTAGGATAGGATTTATTCAGTTTTAAGTTGTTATTACTAGCAGCCAAATGCAATCCTGAACTCATACACTTGTTCACAGGGACACTTCTGCCAACATTTGAATAAACAGTCAACAGTCTAAGAACAAGAGAGCACCCAATGCTAGCTGCCTCTTTGTTTATAACTCTCTAACTTGTGTTTTGAAATTTCCTACTTAAAATGTCTATGCTAATGACTTGATAATTGTGTATGACTTCTCAATGAAGTGTGAAGTGCTCGCAAAGCAAATTTACAAATGTCAAGTATAATTTGAGAAATATTGTCTTTTTTCTCTAAGATGCAATTTTGTATGGTGATGTTTTTATAAGCTAAAAGCATAACCAAACATATGGAGGAACTAATGACAGCCCTTCTGGAAAGGTTATGAGATAGAAAATATTCAGTTGCAAAAACTCAATGACCTGTACCCAAGTCTCTTTCAATATGGCAGCCAGAGAGAGAGCAGGTAGACAGTATAGGAGAATGACTTCTTCATTTCCTCTTAGGAACTCTTTTCTGAATATAAGCCTCACTTTTAAATTCAATAAACCAAGAAGACAGGAGCAGGTGAAAAGGAAAAAAATGGAGGATCTGACCTTATTTTAAAAAATGCCTTCTGTGGGAGAAAAACCAATTATCATTATCAGCCAATGAATGTTTTCCATTTTAAGCCCAGCTCAACCTCAACAGATGCCAAATACATTTGCCACAAGAAAACTGAGAAGATATTCAAGATGCTACCATGAATATATTTTCAAGGATTCAAGTCAACTAATGAAACCTCAAGAATTTGTTTTTCAAATATCTAGAAAGGCAGTCAAAATACTATAACTAAAATTTTAATTAACACTTATAATGATTAGTGATATCAGTTGTGGATCAATCTGTAATGTTGACTTTATACGTTGTATACACTTTTAACATACGGGAGAGAGCATTTATTAAAAAAAGAGGTTCACTTCTTAAATCTGTATTATAAGAAAATCAGAGCACACTTTAACAATTTTAAAATATTATTGAAGTACACCATTTTTGATAGGAAAAAAATCTGGAAGAAATAATAACTAAGCCATAATGAAATAATAGTCAAAACTCCTTCCCCAACATAGGAATCTCCTCTACAATGATCCTAATGAATGGTTACCCAAACTAGGGCATGATGATGGAAATCTCACTATCACAAAAGGTAAGCCTTTTGATTATTGGGAAGCACTATTTACAAAGTCTCCTGCTGTTCTGAGCTAAAGCCTGTACTCACTGTTTCCAATCCTGCAATGTGAAAATAACTGAGCTTCCCCTCCCTCACTCATCTCACAGACCTTCTAAGAGTTGAAGATGGTTTTGATATCAATACCCAAGCCAACCCTTCTCATCCCAATTCCTTATATCATTTATATATGTCAAAGTTTCTAGGTTCTTCTACTTCCTGGCTAAACTCTAGGCTGAGAACAACTGGATATGAAATAGGATGAAATTAAACTGCTATACAATCAAGTATGGGTCTTTATCTCCTTGGATTACAGCTATGATTTATTTGATACCAAATCCCTGGTCAACAAGGTAACCCCAATTACCACATTATACTTGGGAGAAAACAGAATCAGCTTTATAATAATGTTTTACTACTCCATTTGCAGAAATGCACTGCAATAAAAAGTTAGGACAGCTAGTACATTCTCCATACAATTCTTGAAAAATGCTTTGAATATTGATGTTGTTTTTCTATAGCAATACTTATAAGGGATGTCATTATTGATATGGTCTGATGTACATTAACAATTTCATCAAAGATATAAGCCTGTGACCCAAAATTAAAAAAAAATTGTTTTATAATCACTTTTTAATAATTATATTACCTGGTACCATAATCCACAACCACCCAATCTTTTGCAGTTCCTGTGATAGCATCATGATGTTGAAACAGTCCCAAATTTCTTCTGGCTTCTGTCAGTGCCATGTAATGGGATGATGAAAGAAATTTACTTATCTTGTATTTCTGAGCTTGTTTCAGGGCGAAATAGTAAAGAATTTCAGCAGCCCTAATTGTATAAAACAGTCATTAATTCTTATTTCAAAACAAACATTTACTATTTAAAATATGTGGTACTGATACAATTTTTAAATGCATTTTTTAAAAAATCCA